TTGGCAGCCAGATAGATACTTGGTCTTTCTGGTCTCACCATGTGCATTGTAATAAATCACTGTAAAATCTCTAACTGTGCCTCCCTCCCTGCATACATCTGGTCTCAGCAGAATTCGGGCAGAGACAATTTCCCATAAACAGGGCATTGACAGGTAGCTGCCTGTCACTGTCCTTTTAGGAATGTCTGTCTTCTGATTTACCAGAGGAAACATTGGGTACTCACCCTTCATCCACCAAGGAACAAGTGCACGTCAGGTGATACTGGCAAGCAGATGGATGTTTGTGCTTCAGTTTATTCCTGCTACACCCTCTTCTGGTAACTTGCTGTCTGCCCACACATGGGATTGCAGATTTATTAGATTACACTGCAAATTCATTAGATTGCAAATTCATTAGATTACACTGCCAAGAAGTGGGCCTCACAGTAACAAAATGTCTATTCCGAAAGACCCAAGGTGCCCTTCAGACACGTGTACTAGACACATGAACATCTCCCAAACTGGCCTGCTTGTCAGATTTTTAGTCTGATTTTAGAGTCTGTATTTTTATCCTGCCAATGGTTTATTAACCTTTTTGTTACAAGTAGCTTCTAGTAGTCTTTGTTATATTCACACCAGATTCACAGCAGAAGAATCTAGGCTAATTTTTTTCATTTACATTTTCTTCTGCATGACATCTCCCAAAGCTTTTTCAGTGGCGTTGTTTCAGGGAGATGGAGTTGCCATGGTTGGTCTGTACGTCAGGCTCTGGTTCTTTGCATGACCCAGGCTGTATAGTGAGTCCAGTGAGGCCAAGACTACAGGATTTAGGCTCCACTTTGCTCCACAAAGAACATTGACTTTGCAGGAATCATTATGTTGTATGTGCAGTGGATGAGATGCATCATAATAATGCAGTAATTATTTTAAAGATGCTTGTCACTTTGACTACTTCAGCAAAAATATTCAGGGTTGTTTGCTCTTGTTTTGGGAATGATTGAGAAAAATCAATAATCATTCATAGGCCTCTCAAATTAAATGGTTTCCATTAAGTACCAGATGCCAGTACAGCTTTTTGTGGATAGACTTGTCTATAGATATCCATATATAAAATAATAGTATATTTTCAGAGTGGCACCAGTATAAACCATTTGCATTATATGAGCTGTATCTCAATCAGATTTTGGCTGGGATAAATGTGAATTCTTAACTCCTCACTCACTGCTCCAGAAAACCAAACAAGTAGTGCAGCCATTTTAAGCAGAAAATGAATGCTTTTATACCTAATAATCTCCTGAGTGAATTGGCTCAAGAAATTCCAAGACTTGGCACTCAATGTAAGCACTCAGTGGAGGAACTCCAGTTAACTGAACAAAAGTATAAATCTGTCCAGAGCCAGTAGGAGCAAATCTACAACAAATGTAAACCAGTAGAAGGAGACAGAGCCACATTGTATGGGAATGCAGAACACAATCTGTACTGCATTAATGCTCTACATGGTTACAATCTTCTACAAACAGAGTTGGCTGAATCTGAACATTGATCAGCACATGTTGCATTTTCCTTTGATCTTGTAATTGAAACAAAATATTGTGTTTAGGAAATAAGACCCTGGCAACAATTTCTACCCAACATTTGGCAAATCAATTAGTCTATCAATCTAATCCCCTATCTGTATTTCCTGGTCTGTGACATGTGAATACTGAGGTAAGAATGAACTAAACATATATTAAGTGTTCTAACCTCCTTGTAGACATTTGGCATACTAGAATTGCAAAGTATTATTCTGTTTAGGAGTGCAGATCTTGCTAATTCTCTGTTACCCTTCAGACTGTTCCATTTTTGAATATTTTTAAAAGAAAACTCCCCTAAATTCTCTTTTATTTACAGTGCATATTTTTGTGCTTGTACTAGTAAAAATGAGCATGAGGAAATAATTAAGACTGTGTTTTTTTAAAATAAGAAATGTCTACAAAAATGCAGTGAAAAATTTTATTATTACAACAAAATATTTGCATACAGTAGGGATACCATTCTCTACCCCAGTGATTCTACTACCTGTATGTGTCCCACATATGGCTGAAAGGCTCTTAAATAATCCCTGTGTTTGCTGCTTTTATAATACTCATTTGCAGCCACTTTTGATTGAAACTGAGAAGTTAAACTTTCAAATCTCTTGCAGGAAAAGGAGGCAAGATGTAAACAAGTAACAATGTCATCTGAAGATTTTTAGATATGCTTCCAACTGGGACTAGGGAGAAAGACGCTCATTTGCAGTACACACTGATCTAGTTAGAATTGACACAGTATAACACTTAGATGATGTAAACCAGCTTATTAAAAGGAAGCTCATTTCTGTGGTATTTTTTAAAGTATTGAAGGTGCAGGGAAGTGCACCGAAGCTAAGTAAGATCCTCAAGTTCTACTCCTGCTTCCCCTAGAGATATAACTCTACTTTCCCCAGCCTTGAACTTGTCCTTCTCCAGACAGGACCTGTTTTTCTCTTCCTCTAGACAATTTGTTGTTAAGCAAGCCAGCTCAGCACATTTCCTTCAAGCAACCAGCCAAACCTTAGTCAGCCACATGCAGGCTCCTGGTAACCTACAGCTGAGAGGAGGCCCTCTTCGACTATGATGAAGGACTCCAGTGATTTTATCTTGGAGGGGATAGGCTGCAAAACCTAATTTACAATAATTTCCAGATGAGCTTGTGAACAGGAGGCAAAAAGAGGTCTTTGGCAAGTAATGGCAATACTGTTGATGCAGATACTGACTTCTGCTTTACTATTTATCAGAATGTAAACCTGTAAAATGTGGATCTTATCTTTTGGAGCCACAGATGTGTTGGTACAATCTTCCAGTCAGTGAGCTCTTGCAGTGGAGAAATATTAATCCACTGCATTTTGAACCTAGATTTATTTGCTGAAATCTTATAGAATCCTAGAATAGCTTGGGTTGGAAGGGACCTTAGGGATCCTCTAGTGTCGGGTTCGGCTGTCTGTCTCTGCCCCGACATGGGTAGAATGGTTCTTGGGTGGCACGCGATGCAAAGGACGAGTCTGGACTCTTCAGCTTTTCGATCTTCAGGTTGTTTATTATTTCTAATCTACAGAATTTTCTGTCTGCCCAACAGAGGTCTGATCTGCAAGCAGTCACAGGCACTCTCTGACCACCCACGGGGCGGTCATGTCTTTTTATACTAAAATCTACGTACACAATATTTACCTTTATTTCCCAATGCTTTTCACCCATGTTAGCAAGTGCACCTTCACCATAAACCAATCCCCAAGTGCCAACATCATCACAGGAGATGGAGGACAAGAAGAAGAAAGAAGAAGGACGAGACACGCCCTGATCCCTCCATCTTGTCTCCATAACCCCCCTGTACCAAAAACCTTAAAGTTTATATCTCACCCTCTAAATGTGTCTCTTTTACACCTTTTACGCTAAAGTGATTCTCTTGTCCTCAGACTCTTGTTACTTCTGTGGATGGATCAAAATCAAGCCACCAAACACTCTTGGCAACATTCCAGGATTTTCAAGACCCCCAAGGGTTCTCCTGGCATCTCTGGACATCGGGAACGATGTGCTGAGATCCCACACTCTAGTTCCAATCCCCTGCCATTGGCAGGGATACCTTCCACTGGACCAGGCTGCTTAGAGCCCCTCCAGCTGGGCCTGGAACACTTCAAGGGATGGGACATTTGCTTCTCTGAACAACCTGCTCCAGTGCCTCACCACCCTCACAGTCAAGAATTTTTTCCTAATCCCTAATCTAAAACTATGCTTGCTTTGGATCCATTCCCTCTTGTCCTGTCATCACATGTCCTTGTAAAATGTCCCGCTCTTTCTTGTGGGTTCCCTTCAGGAACTGGAGGCAGCAAATAGATCACCCCTAAGCCACTTTTCCAGGCTGAACAACCATTTCCCTCGTAGAAGAGGTGCTCTGTCTTTCCAATCCCTGTGGTAGCCTCGTCTGGACTTGTGGAGAAACACAGTGGAAAACACAGCCAATAACACAACTGGAAACCAACTCTCACTTGAGGGTGAGGTGAAGATGTGCAGTGTCAGGCAAGAACCAGTGCCGATCCCCTGGGATGACTCCATGCAATCTCTGGCTTTTGGAGACCATCTCTATACACAGTTTGTGTCTCCTTTTTTCCAGGAAGCAACTGCAAGAGCTTGGGAACAGCTGGAGATATGTCATGCTGGCTGTTTACTTTCTCCACTCAGAGGAGCCAGCCGCTGGAAAGCAAGTTTCTGCTTTAGAAGAGCATCTCCCTCCCCACTGTAGAATCCCAGAAGATAAGGGTCCAATGTATGTCTCAAACGCTGATAACTGGATGGCTGTGAAACCAATGAATCAGACAGGAATCCCATCAGACAAGAATTCTTGGTAATAGCAAAAGACTGTTGGTATTAACACACTGTGAAGAAGAACAAGTTGTGACTGGAGAAGGGGGTCATGAGGAGGTAGGGTACCACTTTTCTCAGATAAATATCCTTGCTTAAGTTCTTGGAGATAAGCACAACAAACCACAATGCAAGCAGAGGAATGAGGCCAAGACGGGCATGGACTGTAGGAGGGATCAAGACCCTTGATAGAATAGACTGCATGAGAACGAATTTACATAGAAAGAGAGAAATGAGTCTTCAGGGCAGGGAAACCTATCCATAAAAAGGTATCCCTGCCCTGAACATTAGTTGGATCCCTTTCTCTTTCCCTCTCTTTCTCTCTCTTTCCCCTTTAATTCTTCCTTTGTCTCTTCCGTGCCCCTTCCCCTTTCTGCAAAACCCCCTGCCGTGCGCTTTTCGTGCATGTCCGGGACTAACTTACACCAACTCCTATGCCGAGTGCATGATTTCCTAATCAAATCTTCCGCTTGTTTGCGGGCCCTATTGCCTGGCTCCCTTTCGACCAAGCGCATTTACGAGATTGGAATCGTTTCCCCTTAAGGCTGGCTCGCCAGACCGCCACTTCCGCATCCCGCTCCGCTCCCTGACGTCACCGCCGGTGGCGGGCGCGGGTCCCGCCCCACTGTCGCCGTGCCCGGGAGCCGCACGCGGTGCTCGGCCGCCCGCCCGCAGGTAAGAGCGGCCACCCCCCAGCTGTGTCCCTGGTGACTTCCTGTGGCTTTAGGCCTTTCCCGAGGCCTTGGGAAGCGGGGAAGCGTGCTGTCGGGAGGCTGTGCACGCGTTGTGGGCGTTGCTAGTGAGCATTATAAACGCGGTTTATGGAACCACAGCGTGGTTTGAGGTGGAAGGGATTTTAAAGATCGTGTCGTTCCAACCCCTCTGCTATGGACAGGGACACCTTCCACTAGGCGAGGTTGCTTAGAGCTCCATCCGGCCTGGCCTTGAATGTTTAATACATGACATGTTTACGACTTGCTCACGTGTACGTGAGAAGAAGACCATGGACTGTAGGCTTTTTTTGCGTTTTTTGAGGATGGACGTTCTGTAGGCAGTAAACAGTTACATTCCTGTTAAAAATTGGGAAAATAGTGTTGCAACTTGAGGAGCCTTGAGAACTTTGCTAAGTATTTCAAAGAGAAGGTACAACGTGTATATACTGGCCGTGAGCACAGTTAAGCAGCACCTAACGAAGGGCAGGTAGTATTTACAGTTATGAGTATCTTGTAATGAAATTTCTGTAGCTCTTATGTTGCTGCTAAGATCAAAATGTCCCCTTCCTTGTCACTTTGTCACAGCTTTCTGACCACAAGCTTAGTTGCTGCCAGCATTGTGAAATGGACTTCCACTAGCAAATTAAACTTTAAATGCTGCCAATTAAAAGGCCTCATTTTGAGACAAACAAAAATGGAAGAACTGGATTTTAGAATCAACACTGAAATGTGTCTGGCTCATTTCTTGGTTTTAAAAGTATAAAAAAACCCACGTCAAATCTAAAATACCTGGCTATTGCTAATCCTGTGGCAGTATGACCATTGGTAAGGAAATGAGAAAACACTCAACCCAAGGCTCTTCTCCAGAGTGTGAGAAACTTGAAATCGGTAGAATTTTCAGGCTTTATGTCACAAAAGCAGCGTACAAGTTACACAAACCTTTATGATAAGTGCCTTTCTCTTTGAAGTGGCCTAAGATTTTTAGCATTGTTTTTTCATTTGTGATCTGCTTTTCCTCTAAATAAATAAACAGTACACCAGAATGGACTGGCCACCATAGCTCCAGGTAGATGTTTTTTCCCGCATCAGTAAAATTGATGCTAAGAACACAAACATCTCACAATTACTAAATTATATTGAACCAAAAAATGGGTAAACATGCTTCTAATAGTGAACAGCCAAATAAAAATAATAGCACTGCCAAATAAGAACCAGTCAAAAATACATTTTGAATTGCTGTTCAAAATGGTACAGAGAGGCACTACACAAATTGAAAATACAGAAAATGGCATTCTAGTAAAGGGAAGTGCTTTTACATGTATTGTGGAACCAGTGGCTAAAGGAAACTAGGTCAGCAGTTTGAAAGGATTGGAAAAACCTCTTGGCTTTAATTCTGGATATTCATAATAATGGTGCTGATACCAGCGGAGAGTGGCAGCAGGTTTAAGAAGTAGTAAACTCTCCATAGTTTACAAGTATACAGGAGGTGCAAACTGCAGGCAGGTAATTTCCTGTTTGCTGGAAATTTGGTAGGACAGAAGTATTCATTATTGATTGTTGTCCCCACTGTGTGTAAACTGATTTGTCCAAGGAGACAGTCTTTTGCTGCACAAGAAGTTCCTGGTAGGTTCAGTGCCAAGAAAAGGATATGTTTTAAAGACCAGTTTAGAGACACAAATTTAGTGTCACTTTAGAGTGAACATGAACTGAAGTGTGGCAGCATATCTGAGTGTGGGAGCTTTTATGAAAACCTCTCATGAAGAAGTGTTCTGCACATACCTGAAGAAAGCTGTTTTTTTAATTGTACTTATGCTGGGTGTACTGATGGGTTGGAGATGAACAAGAAACAGGTTATATTGGATTTGTTCATAAAAAGAAGCCACTGTGTCATCCAAGATGTGGAATTTGGGACAATTGATTACAGAGAGTAAAAGTGTTTTATGAATTTGCAGATGGAGTTGAAGTTTTACATGAGTGGATATAGATGGGGCTGTGGTGAATGAGGGATGTTTAATCCAAGCTGTTTTCCCATAGGATATCCACTATTGGCTGAAGTATAAATGAGCCTATAATACTATTCTCTCCCTTAAAATTTTAATCTTTTAAAACAGATTAGAATAAACTTTGCAAATCTGCTGAAGCTCAAGTGACTCAGTGGCATCAGCAAAAGATTGACAAGTGTGAGCTGTTTTGTAGGATGGCTCTGTGCAGGATTTTTTGGTGGCTGGAGCCTGGATTTGAAGGCAGGGATTTCTTGAGGGCTGTTTACCAGTTGTACTATAGTGCAAATTATGCCCCACATAACTACTGTGGCTTGAGTTGGGATATTTTTAAGGGGATCAAGATAAGCCTACTAGTGTATACATGATATTTAATTGTAGGCTTTTTTACTTTTGCAATGGAAATCTTCCTTGCAAACAGAACTGTGAGTTTGCATTGCAAGAGTTCTCTAATTGTAGAGATTTGCTCTCCAGCTGCCCCAAGCAGGCTTGAAAGGACAAAGCAAAGCAGGCCTGTGGGCACAGTGATGACTAGTGGGCAAGTAATTATTTATTATGAGCAATAATACGTGTCTGTCACAGATTACAGCCTTTTGTACTCAGAACTTTGCAAACATGGATTTCTCTTCCCTAAGGAGGTTTGTGGCCAAAGAACTTAATTCTCATCTCTGGTAGCTTTAAATTTAAAATGCTCATTGTTCTGTTGCCCTACAGCCACAGCAGTAAACTACAGTGTTAGAGAAGTTACACTTTGCTGCACCTGCACATCAGCTGCATTCACTGCAGGTTGTGAGTCAGAACACACGAGAGGGAGGACAGTGCCAGTTTTCAGGAGCTGACAGAGATGGTTTGTCATATCAATGACGTTCATGTGTTTATTTTGAATTTCAGAGCGGTTTTATATGTCCTGAATGAAAGGTTTTGGGTTTGTTTTTGTTTTCTCTAGTTTGTTTTTTTCCTCCATGCAATCAGTAAATATCCATGAAAAGAAGAAATAATCTAATTACCTAATCTGATTTTTATTAGGTGAAAAATCTGAAAAAATAAAGGATCTGAGCTAAGTATAAAGAAAAGGCCTTTTAGTGTTTAAGGAATAGGCAAGAATTAACATGATGAGTAAATTGCAATATTTAGCAGAATGCTAAATCGCTTTTTGTCTTCTGTTTACATGTTACAAAATATTTCAATTACACCATTTTTATCCCAAACTTGCAGTTTTAATTCCACTTGAAAACCACATGCATGATGCTAACACTGAGCATTTTTCATTTCTGCTTGAGTGGTTTCTTATTACCATGTTGACAGATGCATGTAGCTTCTACTATGTTCACCATGTATCTTCAGTAAAATCTCTCATAGAGGTACTTATGGCCTAATTAGAGTTTATATCTTTCAGTATGTTAGGGCTTTGCGGGGGGCAGAGGGGGGTGTGAGCAGGGAGGGAAGTTTGGTTTTGCTTTCTAAGCAGCTGGCAATTGCTTTCTAAGGCTTGTGTTAAATCACCTCTAGATATATTAAAAGATTATTCATAAAAGCCACCTGAAAATTGACTACTGTTTGCTAGTAGTATTGTCCACAACCATCTGTATTCTGTTTGTTTTTATTTAAAATACAACCAAGTTAAATGCCATATGAAGGTATCTTAGATTAATAGCCATGTTAACACTACAGCAAACTGCTTTTGATTGTCACTTGTGTAGTTGTTTTTATCGAGTCTGCAGATTACATATTTTCTCTTTCTCCTTTTCATATTTGTGTCTTTTCTGTGGTTCATTAATAATGTCTGATATTTCCCTCCCTTTCTGCAGTTTGTATTACCTACTTTGGTTTATAGTATATTGATATGTTGACTGCAAAGAGAACAAGGTGTTCCTTGTGTTCTAAGCAGAAAATGCAGTCATCTTTCTGAATAAATGAGAATTTATTCAGAATTTTTCATAAATTTCAGAATATTCAGAAATTTTGTACCTATGGAAACTAACAAACATTTTTTTTTAAACAGACCTAAATGCAATGCATAAATTTTCTCATGAAATTAGTTTACTTTTGCAATCTAAAGTCCTTTTCTTCCTCAAATACATATTCTTATGGGGTTTTTCCCCAAAAACGACATGGCAGCTCAGGGTTATTAAAAAGGAAGTTTGTTTCTGGTAAGTTTGTGTTAGGAAGTTGTACAACATTTTTCATCAGTTTTTTTGCCTCTGTGTCCTTAATCAAAGTAGTCAATTTCTTTTGTATTTATGTTTATGGGTTATGAACCTTTCTTTGCATTCTCAAAATTTTAAAGTGTTACCATTGCACAACCACAGGTTATGTGTTATGCATCATAGGTCTTATTGCTTGATAATGAAAATTCTATCTTATTTCCTTTAGAATTCCCCATTGTTTGCCTTACCTAGCTAGAATTTTTCATTACTTCTCTTATCTGAATATTTCTACTATCCTTAATTTTTAAAGTGAGAACTCAGTCCCAAATAAAATCTGGTTGAAAGTCAATAAATTCAAATAAGAAAATCTGTCTAATTAACATTGTCTTCAGGGACTGACTTAAGTTTTTGCTTATTCAAAATACAAAAATAAACACTTTAAGAACTTTGAGGAAAATTTTGTTTGTTATTTAATAACTGAAACATAACTACTGAGGGCAGTATAGCTTTTGGGTGTATGTTTAGAGAGTCATGGAGTTCCCCGCTATCTTTGGCTTTGTCATTGTGCAGGTGTGAGTACACAACCCATGTGTTGACTTTGGCAGAAACAGTTTTTTGGAGTTTCTAGTGTACACGTTTTTAATGTAGTTTGCTCAAAATTATTTAAGGCTGTTGACTTGCCTCATTGTTGGCATGTTTAGAGATTACTTATGCTGAAACAACAGTGTAACGGAAAGACAGACAGAGGTCTCTACACAGCAGGAGTAGGAACTTGCTAGTTCCTGTTGAAGTGAACAGAAAACACAAGTTTAATAATTTCTTCCCGCTCCCCAGGCAGAAGCAGCAGACTTATCAGTGAATGGTTCTTTACACAGGCTAAAGGGCAGCCTTCTTCCATTGAAGTTCGATTGTTGGAGGCTAAGATTTTTCCTTTTCTTTCTTTTTTCTTTCATGGAATTTTGTCCCATTTGTTGTAAGAGACAATAACAACCGATACTTATGGGAGACAAAAGAAATGGCCAAGGTGGGGGAAGGGTGCGGCTGCCTATCCTCTTACCTGAGGGGCTTTTTCTTGGGAAGGGCAGAGATATGGTGAGATTCTGGCTGGGGCGTGAGGGGCTGGGCTTCGCCCCGGCTCTCTCTCTCTGGGCATCGGAGGAGGGACAGAGGAACAGTCGGTCTGTGGTCGCTGCCCGGAGGATTTCCTGCCACTACAGAGCTTTTGTCCTCCCACTGCTTCTCCTACCTCAGGTCAGCCTTTGCTCGTAAGAGCAGCTGATGAACTAGGACCTAATTAACACCCGATCCGGCTGGAAAGGACCCTCACCATCTACTGGGGTACCTCAGGGGAAAACCCGGGACCCGACCCTCTCCCCCTTCCCGGAGGGCGCGTCTCCCTGGCTCCGTGTGGCAGCTGCTGCAGAGGAGCGCGGCTGCTGCTGCCCAGACTCTCCGTTTTCTGACGCTGCCTCGGGCTTTTTTGCTACACTTTTACCTAGCACCCCGTGTCCACCCGACCTCCCCGAAGCTCCTGCTAAAGCTGCGGGGTTTTCCGTTACATTTTCTTTTGCCCCCGGGTGTGCCTGCCTCTACAGTCCCAGCCGCCGCTCCGAGGTTCCTGCTGCAGCCCACTTCGCCATCCAGCCCGCCCGCCATTACCACGTGAGGGAGACGCGGCTGAGCTCGCGCCGCAGCTCCCCCTGCCGGCGCGGGGATCCGCCCTGCCCGGCCGGGAGCCACCAGCGCCCCTGCCGGCTGTGACCGGAACTGCACCGAAGGGGAAAGTGCCCGACAGCCGAGAGAGGCTCCAACTGGGTTTGTGGTTCTGTTTGGTGTTTTTGTGTTCTGCCATTGTTGTTTTTGTTTGCCTTCTTATCCGTATACATACTAGTAAAGGTCTATTATTCCTTTCCCATATCTTTGCCTGAAATCCCCTTAATTTCAAATTTATAATAATTTGGAGGGAAGTGGGTCATATTTTTCCATTCCAAGGGAGGTTCCTGCCTTCATTGGCAAACACCTGCCTTTCAAACCAAGACAGATTTTTCCCTTTCCTGGCTAATAGTGTTGAGTAAATAAATATTCAGTAAATATGAGGATAAACATAATTCTTTCTGGTTCGTGAGACAGCAATGATAGCAAAATGTATTTCAGACTGTATTTGTTATCTTTTCCTTCTATGCTCCTATTCTGCTTCTGTCTTATTCCTTAATTCTAACTTGGTATACTGAAAAGAATTTCAAATATGTGACTATTTATCCTTGTAAACCAGCTCCAGTTAATTTTGGTAACACATACTTGCTATAGGCTTTTGTTAGTTCTCTTTTTTGTTCTTGCTGGTGCTGGATACACTGATTAAGGGAGAGAGAGAAGTTGGAATTTATCACTGTGTTCATGCCTGCTTGTCAAATCAAGACCATAGTAGGTTAAGTATTGCAGTGATGGAAAGATCTGTAAGTGATTGTTGGATTGGATTACCCCTCTCCCTGTTTGTGTAAGTGTAGGTAACATGTGTTGACAGACACCTTCTTACCAAACTTGGCTGTATTAACAACTAGGAAAATATAGTTTCTTTTGTAATTTTGAGGGGTTTTTAATGCTATATTATATGTCCAAAAGTTAATAACAAACATTGTTTCTGAACCCTTTTAATCAACCTAACATGGCAGATTATAAAGCAGGTGGTTAGGAGAGTAGAACGAAACACAAGAAGTGTTATTGTGAATGTCAGAAATAATTGTATTGGTATTTTGCCTTTCTGTGGGCAGCATCTTGTGGATCCAGCTCAGCTTTCTTCCTTGGGTCTGCCACAGCTGACAGAAGTAATACTTATGTATGTGGTGTGTTGGAGCAGTGGCCGGTGGAAAGTAAAACGCCCAGGCTAGATAAGTGGCCAGCCAACCTCCAGCCAGTCAGGCACTTCCCCAACCCGAAGTCAGGGCCTTGTGCCCAAGGCGATGTCAAGCCTTGCGGACGTGTGGCCGCAGTAGAAAGCTCCGAAGTCTCAGGATGAAATGAAGAGGCGACCCTCAGTTTCTTCAGGGAGGGTGGTTTTATTGGTAGGGAAACGTGGAGGTTCAGGTAGAAGGAGCTGAGGGCCCCGAGGCAGGGAAAGCCTCGGGTTTTACAGAGGGTGGGAGGGGTGAAAGATAGCAAATCAGAGAGGGATACATTAAGGATTGGCATAATCGGAGAACCCATCAAACACAGTTGTGGGAGGGACCCTGGCCCCTAACCGAATCACCCGACATCCTGACCCAAACTTTCTAGAAAAAGAGGCAGGGGTGTCGAGTGACAGGCAGGCCGCCAGGGGTGGGGAACAAGAAAGATAACCAAGACAACTGGGGAGGGGTTTGGGGATTGACACAAACTGGTAACAGGGCAGGACCTTCTGAGAGAACAATGGGGGGAAAACTGAACAAGCATAAAACACACCACAACATTGTGTGGCTTACATGCTGGGGTGGGGAGGGGACCTTTACCATGGTTGGCATTGTGATTCTGTACTCAGTGTGAAAACCAGCTCTGACCAGGATGAGCAGTCATGCAGCTGAGTAGGATTATAATTCTTAACTGTGCAAACAATAGCAGTGCAACTGGGCTTGTTAACTGCCTGATCATATTTCTGAAATCACGTGGTGTGGTTAAAACTGAAGTTGCAGGCAAGCTTGAGTAGCTCCACACCATTTTTTCTCCCAATTGACTTACTTTTTGACCTCCAAGAGACAATATAAATAAAAATAAACCTCTCTCACACATCCCTGCTCTTGCCAGGGAAAGGGAAAGATCAAATCATTATCTAAAACAAACTGCAGTGATGTGACAGCTCTTTGCTGTTTGTACTGACTGTGTGGCTTGGTGTTCATTGATAAAGTGCAGTCTCTTTGATTTCTGTTCCCTCTCTCTGTACTCAGCACCTGGAGAGTGGGATTATCACACTTGAGTCTAAGAAAAGTCTGCAGTGATCCAGGTGTTCCCACTTTTCTTGATTCAGCTCACCAAATAGGCAGGAAATATTACATATTTCTTCTCTTTTTTCCTTAGAACATTTGAAAAGTTGTTGCTCAGTAGATATTGTAGAAAATAACATAGCTCTAAGTAACATTTACTCCCCAAGATAATACCTGATTTATGATACGAGAGGAATTAAAGATATTGATTATAAACTAGCAGCCAGATGGCTTGGCAGTAGCCATACCATGGTACTGTGAATTCTGGGAACAAAAAAAGGGTGCTTTGGGATTTTTCACATCTTATTTCCTAGTTGCACTGATGTGTTGACAAGATTGCAAGAGTATTCTGAAATCCCAAAATCAACTCAGCTTTGCTACAGGTAGAGTTATATTGGGGATTATAATACCCCATAGGGACTTCAGAAAGCTGGATACAGGGTTCACAAGAAGAATTTTTTGGATCTACTGCTAAATGAACTGACCATGACATAACTGGTGCTGAAGTAATGTCTCTTTCTAAGAGAGACTGTATCCCCATTGGTTTGGTTTGTAGTTTGGGGGTTTTTTTGGTTAGTTAGATAGTTTTGGTTTTGTTTTTCCTGGTATCCTGCCTGCTGCTTGGTGTAGCTCTTTATATAGTGTGATTTATAGAACACCTCTTTTAAACATGCAAATAATTTCTTTCTATCACAGATTTATAAAAGCTAAATACTGTTTTAGAACCGTTGCAAGAATAGGCACTAAAGTTGTGCAAATTGTAATGATCCGTCATGCCATTTTGCACAGGAGTTAGGAGATATCCCTGAAATGGCAGAACCTTTTACAGTGTTGCTGCTGGCATTATCTGCAAGAACTCTTCACATGTAGGCATTTCTTATAATGTTTAATGAATGAATGCTAATGCTTTGTGTTGTAAATTGCAGTCTTTAAAGTACCTGCAGTCTGTAGGTACTTAATGAAAAGGATTATTATTTTTGTTTCCACTTTCCAGATGGAAATGTCAGAAGATGATAATAACATGGAAGAATACCCCACTGAAATTCATGATTATCTCACAGCATTTGAAAAGTCTCTTGGTTCCGTAGATGAGATGCTGAAGACAATGATGTCAGTTTCTAGGAGTGAGCTTTTGCAAAAGGTAAGTTATCTTCCTTTTTAAACTCTTTTCCTTGTTAATACACAAATACTTGAGAGTCTGAACTGAAATAAAAGGGTCTGTTAGGCCAACCACTGCACTGAGAAATAACAAAAGTGACAGTCCTACGCTTGACACTTACTGTTAAGTCCTTACATTTCTAAGAAATCTAGATGGTCTTACAAGCTCAACAATGCAACACATGCTCTTCCAATCTGATAAGTGATAACTTTACCAGTGTGTGGAAGAACGCCTACGTGACAGAGGCCACGTTCTGGACCAAGAATCGGGAGGATGCAGCTAATCTGGGTCCCTGCACCTGCAAAACACTGTGTCCTTGACCATAGCTGTGGTACAATAACAAGTAGTGAGAGAGACATGAGAAAAGAAAGATGTAACCCCTAAGGTATGAGGAAGAACTGATATTGTAGTATAGCCAATAGATTGCTTAGCTTGCAGAATATGTATGAGCTTATTACTTGTTGTGCATAAAAGTCTGATGATGCTCTCTTCAATAAACGAAGCTTGCTAAACACTCATATTGAGCGTCCAGGTTTCCCTCACCGCAACACCAGTGAGACATTTAGCTCAGGGACATTATAGCTTATTCCTGACCTTCATTAACATGCTTGTCCATAATGGAGAGGTCACTCACATTTTTGATTGAGACTTCTTCACAGCAAACTGAATGGAACTGATGTACCCAGCAGGATGTGAAGGTGAACTGGCAGAAGTGAGAATTGATCTGATTCCAGAAGTCTAGACTTGCAGAACCTGAGCTGTCTCCTCTAGCTATGCTATAAGTCTGCAAAATGTGACTTTTTTTTAGAGCAAGGTAGTGCCTGAGAATTTCATATAAGCATCTCTGTCTTATAACATTTAAAGCCTAATGTGTAATTTATTTCTGTAGGGCAAGAAAAAGGCAACACATGAGGGAACTTCTTTATCCTGTGAGGATTTCTTACACAAATAAATTATGAAGAAAACGGTCTTGACAACACAGATCTTTTTACAGTATCCATGTTAGAATAGTAAGCTCTACAATGATATTATCAGAGTTTCTGGAAGTCGTGTAGGACTAAAATAATAAATTGACTTAGACAGTCAAGGGAAACAAAACCCCTTTCATTACCTTTATCCTTCCTTTGCTTTATATCCATAAGTATTCTGACATGCGTTGAAGACACGGTCTGCCATGTGTCATGTTAACATTCATTGATTGTATATTGATGTTTGTGTTTCAGCAACTTTTAAACTTTTTTCCCCCTTCCATTGATAGCAACAACTATGTTTAATTAAGTTTCTGTGGAAAAAGAGGGACTTTATTTCTGACTATGGGAACAGTAGTCTTAAGAGATACATGCTAAGGGATTGTGCTTTTGGTGTATGGGACTGTGGCGTTTAACTTCAGACTGGGAGAATTACACGAATACTTGGAGAGGAGAGAATGAATGGTCCTGTGATGGCATGGAAATAAGGCATAAACACAGTCTCAGTAAACTTGTGATGCAAAAACATGCTTCTTCAGTGTGTATTCTTTTATGAATACATTTGCAAGTATAAAATGTGCACATTACCACAATCTGTGCATATCTTGCTTAAAAATCTTCAAATATAATGGGTTTTTTTTCATTCTAGTTAGATCCTCTTGAGCAAGCAAAGCTGGATCTGGTTTCGGTGTACACATTAAATTCTATGTTCTGGGGTAAGTATGTGGTGTAAAGAAAAATGTAGTATTTATGATTAGCATTCAAACATCTAGACAGCCACAAACACTAAATAATCATATCTCATAGCCAAATAATTAAAAACTTGTAATTACCCTGAGTACCCACATTATTGCCAACCATAGGGTAAATGATGTTGAAATTCTGAATCAAAAATCTATATTTAGAAAAGCTAATTTTGTACATGCGTGAGTATGTTTCTGGTTCCTTTGTGGCAGTCTTTTCTGTTCTTTAAAGGACTGAAAGTTTAACCATTTTAGTTGTTAAATTTTAACCATTTTAGTTGTTGGGGGTATTTTAGCTGCAATATTTAATAATAATAGTTTGTCAGATACTTAATGACACTGTTAACAATTCTTATTAATGATTTTATGTGGAAGCCTTGGTTTTCCTATGTGACTGCTTGATAGGGTCTTCAGTCATAGATAGCTTTCAGTTTCAAAACAAGCTTGTTTTTTTTCTTGTAGTATACTTGGCTACCCAGGGAATCAATCCAAAGGAACATCCAGTGAAACAAGAGCTGGTGAGTTGCGTACACTACATATGTCCTACTTGTGTACGATGGTTAGCCCAAATGGAAGTTTAAAAATGTTTATATCTACATTTAAAAATGATACATTGCTCTAATAGCACGCATATGCTACATGGTGTTATAAACTACTTATATGCCCTGCTGGGCTCTTTAAATTAAGAAAGTAATTTTTTTAATTTTAAACAGTACTGTTTAAAATAAAGTTGTAGAGTCTGCTGAAATTATAAAAGGATGATGAATGATATCATCTTATCTTTTCTTGTTTTCCACCTTTGGTCCAGAATTGGATTCTGTGCAGAGCAACTTTTCACTTGTATCTGTTAAATGGAAAAGTGTTACAGGCCTGATAATAATTTATAACTTCCAGTATGGCATTTTTTTCCTTATAAATACTTGGAATCATGTTAATCTCTGAGGCTGCCTTTTCTTACTTTTGTATGACTCTAAAAGTACAGTGTGGTTGATTTACTAGTGAAGACGGGAAAGTGCCCCCCTCCCCCTTCCAAGCCCTTCAATAATTCATTTTCTCAGCAGTAAAGAATCCAGTTCCGCAACAAAGCTAAAAGCTTTTTTGGCACCAGTTGTATGTGTATTGTCCAGTAATTCTGCATTAGTGACATATTTACGACCTATAATAAATCTTTAGTTTTGTCTTTATATTCCATTTTGATGCATGACTACAGTAAAGAAAGCCAGCTATCTTGAAAATTCTGCTGACTTAAAAATCTGAATCATTTAGCCTGAAGAAAAAATAGAAATCCAAACTTCTCACTACTCATTTTAATTCCTGAATAAATTAAAATATTAAATCTCAGCAGATGTGAAATAGTTAGCTTAAATATAATCCTTGCATTACCAGTGGAATGGGAGAGAGGACTAAAAATGTAGAAAGCTAGCCAGAATAACAAGAATACTTCTATTTTAAAATTTGTGAGGTTTTCAGTAGTCTAGACTGTATCATATTAAAAAATGCATCAGTTAATACTTTGTGAGCTGTGTTTCAGTTTTTTGTTCCTCCTATATCATGTAGTGTTTGAATATCATGTTAATTTAGTGATACTATGAACTTTTATCTCTTCTGCTGTGGGTATTTTATGTATTTTGTATTTTGCTTCACAACTGCTGTTTTAGCTCTGAAGAAAGATTGAATATTTTCATAGCCTTGTTTGTTATTCAGATCTCTTTTCCTTTTGCAAGTATCAAGGTTGAATGAATGCACATTTCTTCCTTCTAAAGACATTGTGATGTTCTTATTCATGTGGAAAGGGAATTAAAAAAGACTTTGTGTCATGATTATTTTGTTTGTAGAATTGCTCTCCTTGTGTACATACAGGTATTCAAACTGTATTAATAAAACTCACACTCAGGCTATCAGAATTAATTTCTTTTGTCAAGTTGACATTTTCCAGCTCCTTTTTCCCATGTTAATACATGTAGGTTTGCCATCTGTTCTCATTAGCCATCTCAGTCACCAAAGAAATATTATGTCCGATCATGATTTCAGACCCTCTAAAGCCCTCCTTGTTAAAGCTGTGTTTTTGATACAGAAGGAGTGGCCAAGTTTTTGACAGTCACTTAAAATGATCACTGAAGAGTTGAAAATCAGTTCTGTAGTGTAAGTCTTGTAACTTTTGTTCCAGATTCAAAGAGGTGGCAATGGCTGTGACAAATGTGAGAAATATCAAAATTTATTTTAGCAACATCCACACATATTCTGTTAATCCACATTCATAATTCAGGTATCAGAGCACTACATATATGTGTATATATATTACTGTGGTTTGTATGACCATAACATCCAAAGGCCCTACAGTTAAAGGCTATATTAGGCTAAATATGTAGACTTGAAATCTGTAAACCAAATTGTTAAATATTTTGTGGAGTTACTGTAAGTGTACTCCCTTGTCAGTGAAGAGAAGCAGGCACTTATCAGAGGGAGATTCCTATCATCCTAAAGCTGCTTACTACCCTCTCAAAGTAATTTTCTTTATTTGTTGCAGGAGCAGATGAGGATGAGTAGGCACATAAATGAGATTGTTAAGCTGGGAGGGTATACTTCTGTGGGGCTGAGTCCCCACAGTTGTGGTTTGGTCAAAAAAACCCCCCATAAACACCAAATAACTGATAGGCTAAGATATGTCATATAGGCATGCCCTTTTCCCTGGAAATAGCCTGTATTGTTATTTATGGCCATAAAATGAACTTCTGATATGGCTGGAAATTCATCAGGTTGCCCTAAATAAGTTCTTTAATAAGACCTCTTGACCATTTCAGGAACTTAAGCCCTAAACTTCTGGGGTACAGACATGTGTGATGCTTGTACCATCTTTGATTTTGTGTAAGATGCCTTTTTAGCTTTGCTTGGACTTGCTGATTCTGTTTTTTTTTGTGGACAGTAGTTAGGTAGTATAATGCATCCATAAATATGTCAAATACCTAAATATTATTTTGGCATCTTTATGTAGGTCAAACTCCAAACTGAGTTCAGTATTTTATTTTCTAACTTTGCTTGCAAGGACAGTTCCCATATATCTGCAAATTAAATGCAGAGTCTGCATGTCTGTAGGACTTTGTGTTCCTGTTATAGCGGGTGTCATGCAGATGGTGTGGTAGGTACCTGTGATGGAAAATATGCTAAAGGAAAGTCTCAAGTTTGCAAAGGGCCTGGTATATTTATTTAAGTAATACTATTCTTCTAGGTATTATAGTTCTAGAAGTGTATAGTGTGGAGAACTTCTACTCATCGATTCATTTTAGCAGTAATCTTGGGAGAATGGTTTGAAATACTTTTCCTTTTTTTTTTTTCTCCCTAGGAGAGAATAAGAACATACATGAACAAGGTCAAAGAAATAGCAGACAAGAAAAAGGCATCCAAACTTGATAAAGGAGCTGCTTCTAGATTTGTAAAAAATGCGCTCTGGGAACCAAATGCAGAAAATGAATATACTTCCAAATCTCCTGTAAAAGGAAAAAAGAGACAAAAGGACTAAATCTATTTTTCCCCTCATAAGAATTGTGGACACCTAGAACTTACTTGGAAATGTTTTGCATACTGCATGCATCTCATAGAAGAGCTGTATAACAGATTAATTTATACTTACAAATTTTACAGGATTGTATTTTGTCCAGAACATTTGTCACTGCGGTGATCACATTTAATGTGTATCTAAAAGTGCCATTTGATGCACATTGGACATTTCATTACTCACATGATAATAACCTGACATATACTTGCTGGTAATAAATACTAGTGATGTTTTGTTTATAATGCCTATGAATTCAATTTTTAAATGATTTGTTGACACTTTTTTGTCAATCAATCTCCTCAATATTAAAAAGTTTCGAACGCTGCTATCCAGTCTGTGGTGTTTATGAAAGAGCATTGTGTGAAATGCCTTAGTTTTAGAGTTTTGTAAGCCTTATTCATTGTATTAAACTCTTTTCAACTTGAAGGTGTGCAATATTTCCTTACTTCTGTTGCCTCTGAGAAAGCAGGGCTTCAAGGGCCACAAGCAAACACCCTGGATTCTGCTCTAAGCCCTTGTGTCTAGTCAGTGAAAAAGTTACATATCCCCTAAGGCAATTTGTGGGGTCGAAAGAAAAGGAGTAGGCTGGAGGTGGATATTAGGAAACAGCACATGCAGGAGCTTGATCGAATTTTGGCTGCAGTGCTCCTCCCTTAGTGCTAAAGCTGGGAGAAATGTGCTCTGGGGTGGTAAGAGTGTGGCCATCTATTGGTGTTTCTCAAGTCTTCATTAGGGAAAGCATCCTCACATGCAAAAAAAGCTACTGCTCTGTCTTGGAAATACTGTATTTTTCCTCAAAATGTGAAGATTAGTTGTTTAGGAAGGGTGGGGTGTTAGGTGGGTTCAGTTTTCAATATTCTGCAATGTAAAGCTCAATTATCTGCCCAAAAGCTATTTAACAATTAGCAAGGAATTAACAATTACAAAGGAAAAATAGAAGATTTAGCTCAAAAAAATGCAGTATGGGTAGCAGTTCATTCAAGTCTTTGGGAAATGTTGTTAGTATAAAATGATAAGAACAAAGCTCTGGTATTGCAAGCTGAATGATGTTCAGTGGATGGTTGCTGTCCTTGGCATTTTACTGCAGCAGGCAATGCAGAGTGTGAACTAAACTGAATTAGGTATTAAAATGAAGGTTTTTCCCTAATTGTTATCTAAAAATACACATTTAAAAGGAAAAATTCAATGCATTGACAAGTTTATTAAACTCATTACATGTCTAGAAACTTTTTTAGTGACTGGTATGAGTTTACATATTTTTGTTTACAATAAGCTCTTCAGGTAAATAGCAATGCCTTCAATCCATCTAACAAGAGAACTATTTAGATGTGGGTACCTAACCTTGCTGCCTCAGATCCACAGGACTGCTTATGTGAGTATACATGTCAAAGGCCTATAAAAACCTAAAATGACGGTGCTTTGTTTCTTCAGGTTAATGTCATGGTTGTGTCAAATGAAGGAGCTATTGGACTTGGGAGTCCAAGAAAATAGGAGAGTTTTTTTTTGTTTTGTTTTTTGTTTGTTTGTTTGGTTGGTTGGTTTTGGGTTTGGTTTTTTTTTTTTTTTTGGTTTAGTTAAGGTTTAAAATTTGAAAGACCCAAAGTGTGTCCTTGACCAAAAGTAACACATTTATGTGAAGCAGTTCTTCTAAATAGGTCTGGATGGTGTTTGCTTGGAAGGCTGTGTGCCCTGTCTTGTACCCCTTTCAACCTGACAGTGCAGATGGCAGTGTTAGACTGTTTTAAATAGACTTATGGACTAGGTGTGAGTGTTGAGGTCTGCATGTACCTCATGCATGAGGTTCAAAATGTTAATTACAGACCCACTGATCTAAAAAAAAAAGAAAAAAGGTCACGTGTTCTTTGGACTAGTGGGGAAGGCAGTTGGAGGATAGAAGTGGTCTGAAGTAGCACAAACCAGAGCACTTTAATATAGAAATTTTCTGGGAGATAGCATCTTCTGCTTTGAGAGGCATTGTCTTGAGGAAATGAGCAGCTCAGCTTGTACTTATGTGCAGCGCTGTTAATTAAAGGAGGATTGGAGGACGTTTCCATTACATTATTTTCCTCTTAAGCTTCAATTATAGGTTTTGTTTTAAAAGGATAATTTCTGAAAAGGATCATTATTCATTGTCCAGTAAAGTACACAGGTTTCATTGGTAAATATTTAAACAAGAGTAATGCAAGGCTATTAGCTGAGACTTACTGAGGTAGAAGTCCATCTGGCATAATTAATTCTGTGCAGGTATTTGACATTTGTAATAGGACAGTTTAAATAGATATAGCATGTGCAATTTTGTATTTTTTTTTAAAGCCTTGCATCATTCAGTACAGCTGTTAATGGTGTGGATTGCAGCTTTGGTTTTCTGACACAACACAACACAGACAAATACCCTACAGACTAAGAATCCTCACCCTGTGCTTATTATTCATGAACAGCCCTATTTGAAAGAAGCTTGAAATCATGATTATGAATGCTAAGTGGTTTTTATATCATTGAAGTGATTACTTTGTTAAAGATTTTGTTTTGATTCAGACATTTAATGAATTCTTGGAACTTTTCTTTCTTTGCACCAAGGAAGTGGTGAGGTTCATGACGGCATATGAAGTTAGCGGCTGGCACTAGAATTTGGTGTCAGGTCGCATGAGGAATTTTCCAAGTTCACAAAAATATATTTCAAAAGAGAAGTGAAAATGCACCTCAGGGTGTTAAATCCCACTTGTGTTAGTGGCAAATAACTACATAAAAATAGCAATTTGGCATTACCTGTCCTAGCAATTAAGGAGATTTTTACTGTAACAAAATGACTATCTGACATGAGAAATGAGTTGTTCTCTGAGCTGTGTGAAGTTTCCACAGATCTACTCCTAGAAAACATTTCTCTGACAGAGAGTTTACTGTGGCTGTGAACAAAAGGGGAATTTTCCTAGGGCTTAAATTTCCAGCCTTAAAAGTGCTTGCCATATGACTTGGGAAGTCAACATATCAATGAGGCTCATTTCTACTCCTTCAGTATTTTTATTCCTGGAGAACTGCATTCCTAAGAGTTTGTTTTTTATTAAGTCATCTTATTTTTCCTGGCTTTGAAAATCAATGCTAGCATAGAGCTTTGTCAAAGACTGTCAGTGTTGCAGTTATATTGAAAATCTCCTCAGACATATTTATCTGGAATAATAAAAGCTAAGCAAACAAAATTCTCTCAGGATTAGGAACTTTCTTGGGTTTAAGAGGGTGGACTGATACTCAGTTTTTAACTGCAGGGCTGGGAATATTACAAATGTAAAGGGAAATCCTAGTTTTCATAGTAAATGACATACATTACCCAGGAAGTGATGGTGACCTGTTTCTGCAGCACTAGAGGGAGAGACCTTGGTTGCCTAGATCAAGATTTGTATCAGCTTTTGGGAGTCATCAACAATAAGTTCTAGTCCGTAACTGGAAACATGGGTAGAGTTGCATTAGTGGAAGTGGCTCCTGTGGCACAAGATTTCCAACTTAGAAATGGCAAAATAATTGAAAGTCATTGCACCCCAAATGTACACATGTTATTAGTTTCTCATAAACTGAGATGTAAAGATGTCAAAACAGGGCATTATTAGTTTATGTTATTATTTCTCTTTCTTAGACATTCACTTGCTAGTGACTAAAAAAAAAGTGTTAAGCTACATCAGTTACAGAAAATAAATACAATTTGTCATTTTAGAATCACACACGATACATATTTGTTAAAAAATGCATTTATGTTCTGCAGTGGGACGGTGTAATTTTCTTTCTCCTAATCTGCTTTGAGTAGTATTTCTTACACAAAGTTTCAGAAAGTCCACATGAATGCTTTTGTTTTGTAGAGCACTCTTAGCATCTTAGCATTAGTGATTGTTTGGGGTTTTTTTCTTCAATTTCTGCTTTCCAGTGGGATACACTTGTAATATTTTATTGATAAAACCAACAGTGTATCTTTTTGCTGACTTTTAACCTTTCCTGTAGCAGAAGATTACAGATCTATGGAATATTTAGTGCTGGTGATCTAAGAAGGAGACCTTGAACTGCACCATTTTCATCAGCGATATCAAAGGGGAAATAGCAAAAGCTTGTTTTTATTACTAAGCTGAGTGAATATGGCATGGAAATATTGTAATGGCAAGGTATCAATTTGTAAAGTGATATATTTCAGAAGGGATAGTAAATTTGACTGTGAATAAAAAGTTTTATAAATGGAACATTTAAGAGGCTATCTTTTACTTTTCAGTGTAGGGTTGCCTTGACATGTATCATTTCAATTTGGCAGCTCCAGCAAATTGATGGAAGTAATTCAGTATGATAATTCAGTATTGCCAAGAGGCTTCTTCTGAGTCTAGTGTGGACACATTCCCCTGACAAATTTAAAGTCTAAGTGATAGAAAATGGATTTAATTCGGCTTATATTGTTCCAACTTTACATCAAGACTGTCTTGGTGTCAAAGGTACCTAGAGAGCATATCCAAAGAGTACATGAACCACAAACTTATTTTTAAGTGAAGGATCACCTCCAATTTATGGTGCTATATCTTGCATAACAATGATCCAGAACAGACAGGAAAGAAATAAAACTCAAATGTGGTTGCAAATGTGCCTTATTAGAGCACTAATTCTAGGGGTAAATTCTTAGCTGCAGTTTGGCAGCAGAGTCTGTTAAAGTAAATGAGCAACTGCTGAGTTCTGCAAGCGAAAAATTAGTCTTTGATATTCTCTCACATGGTGCAAATATTTCCGTGAATATGGTGTAGCATTTGTTTTCTAGAATGATTTTTTTCGTTGTCTCCTGAGTGTTTTTTGCCCCCATGGGAACAAATGAGTCATTGTTTAAAGTAAAAAAATTTCTGTCTCCATTATTGAAAGGTGAGAAGGAGAAATGCCTAGTAACAAACACTGACAAGTTGGATAGCATCAGCAATTTTTTTAATTTGTTGCGCTGGGCTGACAGACCTACTCCCCAACTCAGACACAAGACAAGACATTTTCTCCTGTGAAGTTTCTATGGAGAGAGCAATTCCTTAAGGCAGTTAATCACATGGTGTGCTGCTGTCTGAGGATGTACACATTACACATTCACCTGTGTGTTCTAGATCACTTGGTTGTCCAGAAGTTCAGTGTTCAACAATACAAAGTGCATGTTACTGAAATGCTATTGTTGGAGACTCTGTATAACATCACAAGCTTAATTCTCTTTGCTTTAAGTCAGTTTAGCTCTTGATTTCTTTAAGGTCACAGTAGCAAAAATCCAGTACAAAAGAACTGAGAATTTGGCTTTATGTAGGTATGAATGTCTTTATGTAACAAAACCAGCACTAAGATACTTACTTTCAGTGAAATTTATTTGTCTGTTAAACTCCCTCCCTACTTTGACAGTATTTGTTAAGTTTTGTTTAACTTTTAGTGTATACAGGGCT